GAAACGAGGAATTCGACATCTACAGTATGCCAATAACTCGTTCGCCACCTCGTCTATTTGTTCTCGCCGTTTGGCGCTTCTCGTCACACAGGGGGTTGTTGTGTACAACATGAATCATGCCAGCGCATGGGGTATCACTGTGTACAACATGAATCATACCGGATCATGGACCATCATCACTAAACGACCGCATTTCCCGGCGCACCGTTGATTCAAGGTATCCCGGAACGCCCGGGTTTTTCAAGACCAGCCCCTCCAACAACATCATTTTGAACCCTCGGCCATTCATACTCACTTCCACGTGGCTGCCATGATGCATCTCACAAGGCTGTTGTGCACTCGTGCTGTACAAAATGATCAGATATGATTCATCGGCCATCATGAAAGGCAGCCAAGACAAAAGGATACTGTACCCTCCCAGCAGCCCAGGAACTATTGTCATCTGCGTTGCTTGACAATGCTTACATCTCCCCTTTCCGGCCGGCCGGTCTGTACATACACTCTCCAAGGCGGAACCTCTCCGCCACAAATGAAACGGCCAGACGTGGCTGATGATGTGGCTGACCGCAGGCACGTGCTCAACTGCGATGCGGAGATGACAGCTCACCGAAACGGGCGAACTGCGTAAAGTTTCCTGGTGCAGCACACTCAAGGGAAAACATCCGACGTCAACTCGACGCCTCTTCTGGATGTGTTCAGCAGAACGGGCCTTTGAGCGGTACTTTCTCTCTTGGCAGACATGATTTCTTCAAGTGGAGATGCGGTCTGAATACCCTCGATGCTTCAACTTCGGCGCCCCTTTGGCGGCAAGCCATCGAAACGATACCCTGGGCCATCCCGAAGCGATCTGGATCTTTATCATGCGAATGCTGTCATGCCTTTTAGGAACTATCGTCGAGGGGAGAGCGAGGCGTCTCAAGCAGGCTCTCGCTTTTGCTAGGGGCTAAGCTTGATGTGTCGCTATCAAACCGTTTCCTCTGCACAATTCCGTCGACAGGCGATGGCTGATGGCCTTTGAAGAACATGGTCTTACAATCACTGGACGAACGACTCGACGGCGCTGGTCTATGTTTTTTACTTCACAACTTGACGGCATCTAGGTCACAACGCTCTGCGAGTGTAGAGACACGACTTTTGTCTTGAGCCGATTGAACAATCCGATTCTGGTGGTGACGTGTTTCGCACGCCACTCGGCACCGTTTGAAGCGTCGCCTTGCTTCCCTGGCGTACGACATTGGATGCCTCTCGTTCGGAGCAATCAAAATCAATCTATCTACCAGAAACAAGCGTTTGGGCGTCAGCCGCGTCAGCCAGCGTTTTTGGCAGTGTTGCAACCTCAACAGATCGTCAGGGCTTCCCCGGATCTCCAGGTCTTGGCCCTCTCCCAAACGAGCAGAGCCGAGTCATGCTCATTGGGTTCTCGGATCAGAAGCCGGACACCATATATGACCTCGCCCCCTGACGGCCCTGAGCTGCCGACCTTGCGCCCTGACTTGCCAGCCATGTGCCCATCCGGAGCCCCAACGTCCGGTTCCTCATCAGCGCGATTCTGCCCCCACGTCGCCGCGGGCCTGGAACTGATCGACGGCCGTCGACGCCCCGCGCCTAAAACAGCAACCCTCCGGACCCAGACGTCACACGATACCACCCAAGCCAGGGAATGGCCGGCATAACAACCGTCGCGCGGCGCGCCCAGACTCCGAGAAGCCCCTCATGTCGCCTTTGGCGCAAATGAAAGACCTGATTTGAACCACAGATGAACCACAGATGACCGCGGATGGACCACAGATGGACCACAGAATGAGGGCGTCGCCGGCCCGAGCGGGGCCTGATTGTGATGTGCTCATCAACCGTGCCTCATGGGAACGACGGGTCCAACGACAGAGCGGGCCAGCGAAGGGACGGCACGAAGGAGGGAAAAAAAAAGGGGGCCTACATATAGAGGCCTGAAGATCCTCTCCTGACTTCCTTGTTGGCCTTCTTCCCTTCCTGCAGACAGAGTACAACCGATCCTTCTCTCCTCAGTCATCATGAAGTTCCTCCTCCCCGTCGTCCTCGCGGGCGGCGCCATCGCCCAGTCCGGCCCCTGGGGCCAGTGTGGTGGCTCGGGCTACAGCGGTCCGACCACCTGCGTCGCCGGCTACACGTGCACCTTCTCCAACCAGTGGTACAGCCAGTGCCTGCCCGGCGCCGCTCCTCCCCCGGCCGCTACCACGACCCGGGCCGCCACCACGACCCGGGCCGCCACGACCACCGTCGCTCCCCCTCCGGCCGTCACGAA